TCACAGTGAATAATATAGATAATTATTGCGTCCTATTAAATTTGGATATTTCAAACTTTTTTTTATTACATTTTAATTCTATTTTATATATAATCATAAAGTATCGCTTTACACTATAAGTTTAGATGCTGAACAATAGGTATCAGTGCTAGACTATCCCCTAAAGGACTAAACAATTCCTTATATATATATATATTTTTAGAGATCGAATTGCGAATATACAATCCAGCAGCCTTTATACCGGAGTACCCAGCCTGCGGGATGATCCTGTACAGAGGGGACATCTATCAACTGATCAACGGATCAATTTCCGATATGTGCTAAGGGGGGGGGGGGGGGGGGGGGGGGTCCTCTAATAATCTATTGGAACAGACACTGACACGAACTAAACTCTGCTTCCTTGAAGTTAACCAATCTTCTATAAAAAAAAAAAAAATGTATATATATATATATTAAAATAACCAACAGTAGAAGTAATAATACTATCACACACACATATCTGTGACTCTGTGTAAAAGATTTTACACACACATAAAATATATATATATATATATATATATATATATATATATATATATATATATATATATATATATCTATATCTGTTACACAGAGTCACACTTCAGTGCTAGAATAATATTATAAAATACACACACACACGCTAAAAATAATTAAATTATATTTATATCACATACACAGATTTTAGAAAAAAAAAAAAGTTTAAAGCTATAATAGTAACACACAGACATTTTTAAAAATTATATTTATATCACATACGGCCAGTAAAAATATAAATTTATATGCAAATCAAATACACACAGTTATAAAATATAATTTTTATTTTTTAATTTATATTTTTATCACACCCAGAAAGTAAAAAAATAAACAAACATTTTAGATCACACACACACACACAGACAAAAAAAAAAATATAAATTAGATTTGATATCACATACAGACAGTACAAAATATAAATCTTATATCACATATAGACAGTAAGAATATATGAAAATATATTTTATATCACACACAGACAGTAAAAATATAAATAACATACACATTGTATACTTTTTTTAATTTATTTTTTAGTGTGCACGTATGTTATATAAAATATAATTTATATTTACTGTATTTTATATCACATACTCAGACAGAATAAAAAAAATTAGATTATACTCATATCACATACACAGACAAATATAATAAATTATATTTTATATCGCAAACACACAGTCAATAAAAAATATCAAACTCTTCATATCACATGCACACAGGCCGTCACTATTCTTTTTTACTACATATTTATTATTGCCATACATTTAGGAACCTTTTGCTTTTGGTTTGTATTACTTTATAACTTGTATGACAACTTTATTAATTTACTGCAAATTCAGTGTAATCCTACACAAATGATTCAGAACTAATGGCATTCTTTTAGGATTTTAAATTGGTTTTATAGTTTTACCATTTGATTTCACAAACTAACAAACTAACGAAAAAAAAATTAGAATGTTCATTTTTGTTGGAAGGGGGGGGGGGGTTGAGACGACTCTAAAGTGCTGCCACCTTTGGGGTGCTGCCAACCTGCTGTAGTTGTCAGTGCCCAGAACAAGGAGGGGGTCTGACATCCCTCTAGATGGGGGGGGGGGGGGGGGTCCCAGGTGTCATCAAATAGCCCCACACTGATCTGATATTAAGCAGAATAAAACAAAAGCTCCCTCTAAATCCAGCTCAACTGCAAAGAATATACTTGGAAATCTCCAAAATAAATTTGCATTTGCTGTTCCTTCTAAAGGTGAATACCATACAGAACAGATAGATTCCACTCTACACACAGTGCCTGGGAAAAGTCCTGCTATTAGAAGATGAATGGTTAGAATGTAGCAATGAAAGCTCAATGTCATTTGTAATTATGTGATGCAATTGCAATGCCTGGAGAATGTTCCTCTGGTATAGGAAGAAGGTTACAACGTAGCAAAGAAAGCACAGTGTAAGATTTGCAATGTGAACATTTCTGCATTATTCTCATTGTAACTTCTTTAGCATTTTTGTGTCATTATTTTTTTCTCATTTTTGTATCATTGTAAAATTTTTCTAATTTTTGTGTCATTATATTTTTTCGCATTTTTTGTGTCATTATTTTTTTCTCTTTTTTGTGTCATTATATTTTTTCTCATTTTTGTGTCATTATAATTTTTTTCTCATTTTTGTGTCATTATAATTTTTTCTCATTTTTGTGTCATTATAAGTTTTTCATTTTTTGTGTCATTATAAGTTTCTCATTTTTGTGTCATAATTTTTTTTTTCTCTTTTTTTCTGTCATAATTTTTTTCTCGTTTTTTTCTCATTTTTTTGTGTCTTTTTTTGTTCTAATTTTTGTGCCATTATAATTTCTCTTTTTTTGTGTCATTATCCCCCCCCCCCCCCCCCCCCCCCATAGAAGTGTCAGTTTGGCACAGGCAGGCTGCAGCCTGGAGCCTCATTGTCTGAGCAGCCTTACCTTGTCAGAATGCACTGCAGGGATATCCTTGTCTTCAAGTTTACATAGAAACATCTGATCGCCCTTCCAATACATGGCACAGCCAGACCTGGTTACATCCCAACTCCAGAGGGGCCACAGAAGAGCAGAGAAGAAAAAAGGCAAGCAATTCCAGGGGCCCCTGGGCTGCCCCCCACACCAAGCTCCTGACTGGCAGCTGCAAGCTCCACTGTTGCCTGCTCTGCTGCAATCAAAGTTTTGTTTTGCAGGGGGAGGATCCCAGGAGCACAAACACAGGGGAGAGCTGACAGCCTGGCCCCGCCCACAGAGTCAGCCCCCGCCTCCTGGCACTGGGGAAGTCAGGACAGGGTGACAACGCAGTGCAGGCTTTAGGCAGCCTAGTGAGTGCTAAGGGAATATCTGTAATATCCTGCGGCTGGGCTTTAATACTCTCCATTCTAAGGGGAATGTGAACACTTGGATGCATTCTTCTCCACTGCAAGTAAAAGGCATCTGTATATACTTCAGCATTTTGTTCAGATGATCATGATCAAGCAGAAGTCTTGCACAGAGGCATGCTGGGGAAAAAAATTTGCCCTGATGTATCTTAGTGCATTGCAGCACAGAAAAATGTAAAAAAAAAAAAAAAAAAGTGCGCATTCGCTACATTCGTTCGCATCTAACCTGAGGGCGCATTCGCTTTTCTGAAGTGCGTTACCGCACGTTGCATGAAAACAGCCCAAGGCGGCCTAATGTGCTCAAAATTAGACACGACGATCGTTTCTTTGCAATGCACTGCGACACGCTACCCTGTGTTGCCCTGCGTTGAAGTATGCTGTGACAAGGGCACACTGCGTCCGTACGTTGGGGTGTCATTAAAGTGAATGGCACGCAACGCAGTAAAACACTTTACCACACCGCGCCAATGTGAATGGGCCCTGAAGTTGGCCATACATTATACAATTTTCTTCTTTAATTTCCTTTAGGGTCAGTTCACACAAGCATTTCAGTTGCTTTTTTTCTGCATCCAAAACGCACAGAAAGTAGGTTATATGGTTGTCAATGCTATAGTTCACATCAGTGCTTGTAGTTCCATGCGTGTTTTTGTTGCATTCTGGTGCATTTTTTCTTTGTTACAGTTCATTTTTTCCCCTTTTTCTTCAAATAGGGACATGTGTGTTCCAGTGCGTTCCGGTGCATTTATGATGCGTTTTACCACATTCCATTACAGCTCTGTGCAGAAAAAATGCAGCATGCTCTACTTTTTTTTTTTCTGCAACCGGAACGCACTGGAAGTGCAAGCTTCTAGGTCAACTATGACATTGACAAGCATATAACCTACTTTCTGTGTGATGCTGATTTGTAAACACTTAGTACTTCATAAGGGCCGGTTCACACTATAGAAATGTAGTCCAGATGCGTTTTTGCATGCGCGTTTGACACGTTTTTAAGCATTCCAGTTCATTTTTGCCCCTCTCTTTCTTCAATTTAAATAGGGATATGTGCGTTCCAGTGCGTTTCAGTCCGTCCCGTGCATTTTACCACGTTCCAGTACAGTTCTGTGCAGAACAAAATGCAGCATGTTCTACATTTTTTTTCCACATCCAGAATGCACTGGAACTGCAAACACTGATGTGAACTATGACATTGACCTCCCTTAGGGCCAGTTCACACTACAGTTGTTTTTTTTCTGTATCTAAACATGCACAGAAAGTAGATTATATGGTTGTCGATGTCATAGTTCACATCAGTGCTTGCAGTTCCAGTGCATATATATAAAAAAATAATAAAAAAAAAAAAAAAAAAGGGGGGGGGGGGGGGGGGTGGGGGGGGGGGGGGGGGGGAAAAAATAAAATTTTGGGGGGGGGGGGGGGGGGGGGGGGGGGGAAAATAATTAATAAAAAATTCCGGTTGCAGAAAAAAAAATAAATAAAAAAGTAGAACATGCTGCATTTTTTCTGTACAGAACTGTATTGGAACATGGTAAAATGCATAAAAAATGCACTGGAACGCACCAAAAACGCACTGGAATGCACATGTCCCTATTTAAATTGAATAAATTTATGTATGGCAGTACTAGGATCTTTGGTTCGAACCCCAGCCATGGCACCACCTGCCTGGAGTTTGCATGTTCTCCCTGTGCCTGCGTTTCTTCTGGGTACTCCAGTTTCCTCCCACACACCAAAGACATGCTGGTAGGTGAATTGATTTCTGTCCAAAATTGGCCCTAGTATGTGTATGTGTGAAAGTAAGTTAGGGACCTTAGATTGTACACCCCTTGAGGGTTAGGGACCAGGGGCAGACTAACAACTCATGGGGCCCCCAGGCAATAGGGGATCATGGGGCCCCTGTGTCCTTGCCCAAACTCAAAAAAGCCCATGAAAAAGGTAACAGGGGCATCTCATAGGGCCCCCTACTGACCCCAAACCCTCGGGCAGTGCCCGAGTTTCCAAATGGTCAGTCCACCCCTGTTAGGGACTGAGGTGAATGTACAAAATATATGTAAAGTGCTGCGTAAAATTGACGGCGCTATATAAAATTTAAAAAGAGGTGAAAAAAAATGAACTGGCATGCATAAACAACGCACTGGAATGCATCAAAAACGCACTGGAATGTGCCAAAAACTCTTCATAAATGCGCATGCAAAAACATTCGGAATGCGTTTCTATAGTGTGAACCGGCCCTTAGATTTATGTGGTGTAAGGTGCTGCCAGATTGCATGCAAATTGAGAGTGTTTAGTTCTGACCTCATAATATATGATTTTGGTAAATATGATGGAAAATTGTAAGCTCTAAGAGGGCCCTCTGTTTCCTCTTGTAGCAAATTGTATTGTAACTGTCATGTCTGCCTTTGTTTTGTAAAGCGCTGCGCAAACTGTCGGTGCTATATAAATCCTGTATAATAATAATAATAATAAAGTGTACAATATGTGTCCCGCTGTCTTTTACTGCTGAGATATTTTAACACATGCTGGCAGTCATCCCATTAGGCTAAGGCTACACAAGAGATTTTTAGTAGATTGACTATGCAAACAATTAAAGCAGAAAGATAAAATGATAAAAATGAATAAAAATAGCTTTTGCTGCAATACTTCAATCGAAAAATAGTTTTCTGCCACTAGATGTCCTCAGCCCGATAGCCACTTCCTGGGCCAAGGATGTCCTGGACCCACCCCTACCTATGACTGGTCAGTGAAAGAAGCAGCAGCATTTTGATGGGCTCATCTCTGTCACTCTGCTCTCTCCTCCTATCAGCACCCTTCCTGTCCAGCAGATGAATTTATTGGCTTCTTGTACTGCTTCTACCTCTCACACCCAGCCCTGCTGTGCAAGGAGTTCAAAGGGATGATACCAGGTCACATTCAGGTACTCACGCCGCTTGCTTTTAAAACATACATTTAGGGCCGGTTCACACTAGAGATACGCAGTCCAGATGCGTTATGGAATAGTTTCTGCATGTGCGTTTTTTTACACGTTCCAGTGCGCTTTTGACACGATCCAGTGCGTTTTTTATATATTCCATTTCATTTTCCCCCTCTCTTTCTTTAATTTAGTTAGGGACATGTGCGTTCCAGTGTGTTTTTGATACGTTTTACCGCGTTCCAGTTCTGTGCAGAAAAAATGCAGCATGTTCTACTTTATTTTCTGCAACTGAACGCAGCCAATTAGGGTCAGTTCACACTATATGTGTATCAGTTGCTTTTTACTGCATCCAAATCACACAGAAAGTAGGTTGTATGGATGCCAATGTCATAGTTCACATCAGTGCTTGCAGTTCCAGTGCGTTCCGATTGCAGAAAAAAAAAGTAGAGCCTGCTGCATTTTTTCGGAACAGAACTGTACTGGAACGTGGTAAAACGCATCAAAAATGCACCGGAACGCACTGGAATGCACATGTCCCTATTTCAATTGAAAAAAAAAAGAAAGGGGAAAACATTGAACTGGAACGCATAAAAAAAAAACACGCATGTAAAAACATATCCGGAACGCATCTGGACTGCGTTTCTATAGTGTGAACCGGCCCTTATGAGGTACTAAGTGTTTACAAATCGGCATTCATTTGTGTCTGGTCTATTTGTGCAGCGTTTAGCTTTAGCACATATGCGGTGCGATAGCATGTGATTCACACAGGAACCACACCACACTCCTGTGCAAATCACATGTGATTTGTGTGCGGTGCGATTGGAGCCATACATTTTGTATGGCTCTAATCGCACCGCACCAAAAATGTGCAGGACCCATTTTTTAGTGCGCACTAGAATCAGATTGCATGGGTATTCACACCTATGCAATCCGATTCTGCACTGCGTTATGTGGACCACTTTCGGGATGTTAACTTAACATACACACCCGCAGCAGTTCGCATGAACAGGGTGCGATTATGAAGCGGTGTGGAATTCGCACAGAAACCGCTGCAAATTCCGCACCGCATCCGCGTGAACCAGGGCTTAATCAGGTGTAGCAATAGATTGCTAAGCAGATGGAACACATGGCTCCCTATGGAATAGGCTATACAAGCAGGATGTAGCACTGATCAATCTGGCATGATCACACAATACTCTAATCATATGGACATTGCTCACTACAACATTCTTCTCCAGGCTCCTTATGCAGCTTACTCCAAACAGATTCAGGTGTTTAACAATTAATTGCCAATTCTAGGAATATTAGTAGCATGATTATGCAGCCAATACTCTTCTGTGTAGCTCTAAGAAAATAAAAAGAATCCCAACAAGTGGTAAAGCAGATTTCCAGCTAAATGTTTGTGTTTATTTTTGTTTTTTACTTTATCAGAGGGGGTAGATCCTCTGCTAGGTGTTTATTGCTGTTTTTGGTCAGGAGTGTATTTACCACAAGGCAAACAAGGCATTTGCCTAGGGTGGCATTTTTCAGGGGGGGGCAGCACTGTCCCTCAGAAGACATGGCATGGGGACCTGGTGGGTTCCGAGAGAGGCTATGGGTTTCATGATGGTGTATGCACAGCCCCACTTGTTCCCAGAGATGTCCGGAGCTGTGAAGGCGAGTGTCTCTCTGTCTCGCAGTGGCGGATGGTGGCTGGTGTATGGGAGGCAGTGGTAGTGGAATGCTCTGCGGGG